CTGACAAAAAGATAGACCATCTCAGCATTCTAGGGGAGATGATATGGGGAGTTTGTTTATTTGTGGTAATCAACCCCAATAGAGGCTTATGGTCAGTATAGACCGTGAAATGTCTGCCATATAGAACATCATGGAATTTTTAATTCCAGCGACAATAGCCAAGGCTTCTCTATCTATCTGGGTGTAGTTTCACTCAGCAGAGGACAAGGTTCTGGAGTAATATGCAACAGGAACCTGAGTTCCATCAGCTCTTAAATGGCTAAGTACAGCCCCCACCCCATAAGGGGAAGCATCACAAGTGATGCAAATAGGAAGAGTTTCATTAAAATGTGCAAGCACATCATTTGATGTAAGTAAGGCCTTGACCTCATTGAAACCTTTTTCATGTGCTTGGGACCACTGCCACACTGCCTGCTTGTCTAAAAGTCTATGAAGTGGTTCTGCTATATTAGCTTTGTTAGGTATGAAAGCATTGTAAAAATTCAAGAAGCCCAGGAAAGCTTGTAACTCAGCTTTAGACTATAAGGCCTAGGAGCTTGCAGTTTGGCCTTCAATTTAGACTCAGCATGGTGAATACCCCTGACATCTATTCTGAATCCCAGGAAATCTGTTGAAGACACTCCAATTTTGCATTTGTCTTTTTTAAGTTTTAGGCCTGTTTTTCCGAAACGCAGCAGAACAGCCCTCAATCTCTCAGCTAAATTCTGAGTGGATTCTCCTGCAATAAGGACATCATCAAAATAGGGGCAAACCCCTGGTATACCTCTCAGAGTGTTTTCCATTACACTTTGGAAGATTCCAGGAGCTACATTTGCTCCAAATTGTATTCTCTTGACTTTAAATGCCCCCCTATGAGTTACAATAGTCTGTGGTTCAGCAGCAGCTTCATCAACAGGTAACTGTTGATAAGCCTGTGCCAAATCTAGCTTTGCAAAAACACGCCCCCCTTTGAGGGAAGCCAAAATATGGCTGACTACAGGTGCAGGATATGCATGCTGTTGCAATGCCTTATTTAGTGTGCATTTGTAGTCTGCACAGATGTGAATGTCCCCATTAGCCTTGAGAGGTGTAACTATGTGGGTTTCTCATGGATTTGAGTCAACAGGTTGTAAAACACCTTGCTGGATCAATTTGTCCAATTCAGCATCAATTTCCCTTTAAGAGCAAAGGGTACTCTTCTTGCTTTCACCCTAATAGGAGTGACAGTGGGGTCCAGTTTCAAAGAAACTGGAGGGCCTTTGTAAGCTCCCAGCTGGGGGCTGAAGATATCTGCAAACTCTTTGCAGACTTCTGCTAGGCCTAGTGTTTGCAAATTGTGTAGCCCTGTAACTTGGATTCCCAAGGCCTCAAACCAATCGAGTCCAATGAGACTCGTTCGTTCACCCCCAACTACCAATACATCTAATGGACCTTCAAAATCCTTGTATTGTACTGTAAGGGTGGTCTCCCCCTTTACACACACCTTGGAATTTTGGACGTCTGTTAAGACTATATTGGATGGCCTAAGCTTTGCCTGGAACCCAGTGCTAGAGCAAATCTTCCTGAAAGTGTGGATAGAAATGATTGAAAGGGCAGACCCAGTGTCCAGTTCCATAACCAATGGAACTCCTTACAACTTCATCTTAAGTGACAGTTTCTTTTTAAGTGGCCTGTGTGTGCCTGTTCTATAGATACTTCTACATGATGCACAGAAACCCACCCTGTTTTGGCTGGGGACCCTGGTACCTTTCAGGTGCAATTCTTCTCGAGGTTGTACCTTCTGACAGCCCAGACAAACAGCTGCTATGTGGCCTTGTTTGCCACATGCTCTACAGATTGCAGAATGGAACCTGCAGTCGGTCCTCTTGTCATGACCTCCACACCAGAAGCACTTGGGCACAGCTGAAGATTTTTCTTTGCCTTCCTTCTGCTTCCTTTCTTTGGATGGGTAGATATGATCCACCTCATCTTTAGGATCTTCCTCCGAGCTCTCTTGGACTCCCTCATGGTGCATGGAAACTGCTTCTGGGTTATTCCTGATAGGCCTCATATTCTTGACCTCCCCACCTGCTGCCTCTTCTGCAGTGAACTCTCTCAAGGCATCTTGGAAGGAAATGTCTTCTTTTGCAAAGAGTCTCTGTTGCAAGTCTCTGTTCCTAAGCCCGCATACAAATCGGTCTCTCAGCCTTTCTTCTAAATCTTTAAAGTCACAAGGCTTAGCTGCTCTTCTCAAGGCTGCAATGTATTCTTTGGCTGATTCACCAGCTCTTTGATCCCTCTGTTAGTGTGTCTCCATGCACTAACAGACAACTTGGGCTGGAAGTGTTCCTTCAATAATTTCTTTAAATCTGTGTAAGTGACAGATTCAAGAGGAGCAGGGGCTGCCAAATTTTCTGCAATTTCGAATGCATCTTGACCACAGATACACAGCAAAGTAGCGGCCTTCAAGCCATCTTCTCTAACTTTATTCACTCTAAAGTAATTTTCCACTCTAGCAACATAAGACTCCCATCTTTCGGGGTGAGTAACATCGAATTCAGGCAATCTCCCTATCTTCGCCATCCTTGCTTCTTACTCTAGGAAGGGGTCTATCAGCCAGCTTACCTCCAGTGATGCTGTACTGGCAGGCCAGATGCTGAGTTTAACGCCGTCTTCCTCTCTCCAGGACTCTTGGGGTAAGCTTACAAGTCTTCTTCTTTGATCTTGCAAGCAATCCCACCTTCGTTGCCAGTGTTGTGTCCTCGAGTCAACAGCGAAAGAAGAGCACACATTCTGTTAATTCCAACAGCCTTTTATTCTCAGCAGCTCTCTCCGACACAACTCAGAGGCTCGCAGGCCTCTCTGTCTCCTTTAATAGAATCCCCGGGCAAAAAGGTAACAATCTGGCGTGCTTCCGCGGTGTCACTCAGTCTGGTCCCAGGCAGTTTGCAACAGCTAGGGACCATTGCAACATCCCGAGCCTGCCTTTGCAGGCTCAGGACACAACAATTAACTTCATTAGGCTTCTTTCTATGTCCAGTGCAAAGTACATATTTTCAGTTTCAAGTAGCAGGTCAGGAAATATGTATCTGAGAAAAAGTAAACCCAAAAACCACTGAGATAATCAAGTTGAAAAGATTTTTGAAAATGAACAGTTAAGATTTTATGGAACTATGAAATCCAAACAGACAGGCATTTTGTTCATAACTTGCCTGATATAATAGCCATTGAAAAGAAGAAATTATGGTTCATTGATAATGCTCTACCAGATCATTGAGAAAAAAAAATCTGAAAAAACAAGTGAAATACCAGTATTTGCAGATTGAAGTCGAACACTTATCAAAAAAGAAATCAGTCATTGAACCAGTTGTAATTAATGTTTTTAGAGCCATAACTTAAGCACCCTTTTGATATTTGGACATTTTGAATTTATCAGACCTGAACATCCTAATTTTACAAAAAGTATCCTTTTTTGGAATTGCTTGTATTCTGAGATTTTGCCTTAATAATTCTTAGGTCCTTGTTTGGACTTGAATGATTATCTTTTCACTAGTCTCTAATTATGGATCTAATTGAAGTTGTATGATTTGGTGTAGGTATTGACCACTTGATATTAAGGTTAATATTCCTAAAAATTAATGGACATGAAATATATCAGTATGACTCACACATTTGGAGATGATTGGAGAGATAAGAACAGACCTTGGGCCATCATAAAAAGGACACTGTATGAGTAAGAATTTCTACCACCCTGGATGCATAAGGGCAAAGTCTCTGCAAATAAGGAGTCCCATGAAATCTTCCTGCCAGTAGAAATGATGAAAGGTCATCAAAGCCGGCTCTCAAAAAGATCCATCTCTATTTGCTTAGGGTTAGATTATATAGATACCTCACAGGTTGGAGTTATATTTTAAAACAACCTTTAATATATTATACTGAAACATTATTCTGCTAAGTAGATGACTGACTTTAAGAATATGCAAAACTTTAAAGGACTGATTTCATTTTTCTTTTTCCAAACATGCACCTCATTATATATATGGGCTGTCTGCATGTTAGGCAGATGTATTAACCTCTAGGCCACAGACTCTGTCTCACTCTTGCCAGCTGTGTTAGGGAGGGAAGAAACAGGGGAGGAGTTATCTAGAATGCTGTATGTTACACCCTGTTGCCCAAATATGGAAGAGAGAAATCTTTTGCCTTGTATCAGCTCAAACTAGAGCCATCCATAGGCAGCAGTCACAACTGTGACATAATACATTTCTCAAATTTGGATTGCTAGCAAAGAATTAAGGGAGAACTGGAATAGCTATTTCGAACTCTTTAGCTCATTTCAACCAGACATACCCTTCTGAGATTCGAACCTAGGCTGTCTGCATGTTAAGCAGATGTATTAACCTCTAGGCCACAGGTTCTGTCTCACAGGTTCTGTCTCACTTTTGCCATCCATATAGTAAAGACATGTTTAACTTTCAGTTCAACCCTACCTGCAAAAATATCCAATTTAATGTTCAAAAAGGCATAACCATTTCTCAGATTATATGGTTTCTAGTGTTTTTTTAGCATATTAAGTTAATTAGGGAAAGAAAAACAAAAGTCAAGGGGAAATGAGAAAACCTTAGAGGTTCTTCTCATGAGCAGTGCATGACTCCTGGGAGTTGAGCAAGTTTTTGTGACATTAAAGAAGACTTGATAAAGCTATCATGATACAGAAAAATCATTAAACTTCATGGGAGAAATAAAATAAGTTAAAGGAACAGATAAATACCCAATAATCTAAAATAAGAATTGATAAAGAAAGTAAGCAATGATAGCAGTATTCCAATATCTCAGGGGCTGCCATAAAGAAGAGGGAATTAAGCTATTTTCCAAAGCACCTGAAGGCAGGACAAGAAGCAATGGGTGAAACTAATCAAGGAGAGAAGCAACCTAGAACTAAGGAGAAACTTCCTGACAGTGAGAACAATTAATCAGTGGAACAGCTTGCCTCCAGAAGCAGTAAATGCTCCAACACTTGAAGTTTTTAAGAAGAGACTGGACAACCATTTGTCCGAAATGGTGTAGGGTTTCCTGCCTGAGCAGGGGGTTGGACTAGATGACCTCCAAGGTCCCTTCCAACTTTACTACTATTACTATCTCCATTTTGCCTTTTTTTCACCCTTCATACTCTAAACTTACTTATTCATCCATTTGCTCCTGTGTCTTTCTCAATTTTTCCTCCTTTTATTTTTGCTATATGTTGTAGCAAATATATAAATATTTAGCCTATTGAGATGACAGCCAGAAAAAAGAAAACTGCTTATATGTGTTGAGGTGTATGCATATTAACAATGATCAATCAGAAGACAATTTAAATACAAATTCCCAAGAGGAGATACAAAGTTACTGCAAATCATCATCATCATCATCATCCCAGTCCTTGGGAAAGACTCAATAGGTACCTGGCTGATTGTGCAACAAACTGTAACAAATATTTGTTTCATTTTTCTGTCTCACTGTTATTTTAAATACTTGTAAATTCATCTCATTTATATATAAATGTGCAGGTTTTTTAAATTTAACTATTAAAACAATTTTTATCTTAGCTCTGATTATCTTGATTACAATCATAAAACATGCTTGCTTATTGAAGAGCTGCAAATGACACCACACCCTGGAACTTGAAATCAATGCAAGAAAATTGAAGTGACGTGGATGTAATATTTATGCTTAGAAACATTTATCCAAATTGGAAATGACAATATTTATTTTAATCTTCATTGAAATCATACAATTTACAACTAAAACTTCTTCAAATGGAAATGAATAGAAACTATGTTAAGAGTGCTTCCTTTTCTTCTAAGATTGTGATCTTTGTGACCAAAAATGGATAACAACACATCTATATTTCTTCTCTTGGAATTATCAAACATTCGGGAACTTCAGATTGTATATGCCTCTGTATTTTTGATTTTGTATTTAATTACACTAACTGGGAACTTCTTGATTATCTCTGCAATCATTTTTGATTCTCACCTTCATACACCAATGTACCTCTTCCTAATGAATTTAGCCCTGCAGAACATCGGTTCAGTTTCAGTCATTATTCCCAAGTCCATTTTCAATTCATTTATGAACAGACAACAGATTTCTTATTTTGAATGTGTAACTCAAGTTCTTTTATTTTTATTCTTTGTAGACTCTGATATTTCTCTTCTTACTGTCATGGCATTTGATCGGTATGTTGCTATCTGCAATCCTTTACAATATGAAATGATAATGAACAGGAAGGCCTGCACCCAAATGGTTGGCAGCGTGTGGACTGCCAGCCTGTTCAATGCTGTATTAAACACCACTGGGACTTTTCTCACTCCTTTCTGCTCTAATATTATCAATCAGTTTTATTGTGAAATCCCACATTTGTTGAAGATTACCTGCTCAGATTTATATATAACTGAAATTGGAGTTGTAGTATTTAGCATTACATTAGCATTTGGTTGCTTTGTCTTCATTGTTGTTACTTATGTGGAGATCTTTCTTGCTGTTCTGAGAATTCCTTCTGTCCAAGGAAGAAAAAAGGCTTTCTCCACTTGTCTGCCACACCTCATTGTCTTTTCCATTTTTTTGTTTACTGGTTGCTTTGCTTACCTGCGTCCTATATCAGAGAAACCATCACCCTCTGATTTTGCCATTACAGTGATGTATTCCATTATCCCACCCATGATGAATCCATTAATCTATAGCTTGAGAAACAATGACATTAAGATTGCTCTATCAAGAATTTTTGCTCTGAGGTCACTTATATAAGTTGGAAATATTAGGAGAACATTTAGAGTATAAAACTGAAGAGTAGGGTTAGTAAACTTCATCTCATAGTTTCACATATTATATTAAGTTGGAAAGTATGTGATAATACAGTTTGTCAATAAAGCAAATGAAATATTACTTTCCATATTTCAATAAAACAAATGAAACATTACTTTTTTCTTCTCAGCAATTCTTGAAACAATTGCATATTTTCCTGGGCTCATGTAGTTGAACAGAAAAATATTGTAAACTTAGGGAAGACATAGTTAGTTTAAACTGTTCCAAAGAAGTGCTTTATATATAATCAACTATACTAGAATTTTTTCTAGTGGGTTTCCCCCCCACACACACACATTTCCCCCCTTAATTGCTAGATATGTATAATTTCATCTGCAATGCAAAATATATTCTGTTGAGTGCTTATTCACAGGACAGAAAATATATTTTTTTGATCAAGTGAAGAAAGTATCCACTCTGGGGGCAGGATAGGGATAGGGAAAGGGATAGGGATAGGGATAGGGATAGGGATAGAGATAGGGATAGGGATAGGGATAGGGATAGGGATAGGGATAGGGACAGGCCTGATCCTTTCCCACCCCAAGCATGATCAGCTTCCTTTTGCTGTGTACAAGACAAATGACTTAGTCTCTTGCAATCCTCTCTAATCTCTCCATTCCAGGAAGGGGGTGGGGGAGAGAAGGGCAATGGGGAAAAATTGATCGTTTTCTTCCCCACCTCCACCACAGCTGCAGAGCAATTCTAGAACCACCCACCTCAGACTTATGACTCTTGTCACAAGATGGATGGTCCCATCATCTCCTCATGCTTAAATCCTGCATTTTCTTTATGAGGAGCAGCCATCTGGAGCACATGCAGGCATCACAGTCTCTCTTGTCATCCAAACAAGTATTGAATAACTAGTGTACTCTCCGGTTCTTCAGTTTTTGTTGCATTTTCATAGAGATGTCTTTTGTTCAGCATGCTTCCCTGGAAGTTAAAATGTTTGATCTTAAGTTGATTATTTCATAAAACTCCATTGTATTGTTTTTTCTCTATCTTTCTCCAGGTTTGAATTGTTACAATTCCAATAGTGAACAAAATTTTATGCTTGTTATTGTAAGGATATGTCTCATTTAAAGAGAAAAATTGTGGTTTCATTTCAAATTTAATTTCCAAGATTTCTGTATTATACTCTAGATTTCTTTTCAATACTTTTGAGGGCTTTTTTTTTTTACACATCCACTACATCTGATAGAATGTTGTTTCTGTTTCCTGGCATATTTAACATTTATTACCATATAAATTATCTATTTTAAATAGAGTTGTATATCATCTGTAGAACATTTTATATCTATTTTCCTTTAGGTTATATATACACATTGTAGAGATTTAATCCATAGCTCTTTTCAATTTTGTGTGACATCTATTTCTTTAAAATGTTGCTTCCATTTGTCATAAAATTTCTATTTTGTTCTGTCCCTATATCATATCTAATTAAAAGTATATACTGATTTTTTTAGCATCTTATAATTTGATGATCACAGGGGTCTGCCGGGTACAAATAGCACTACTGAGTGCAACAAAGAGAGGGCTACTTTGGTGTAGCAGTTAAGACATCAGGCTAGAAATGGGGAGACCAGAGATCTAGTCCTGTATGATGTTCAAAGACAATTGAGTGACCTTGGACCAGTCTCTCTCTCAACCCTAGGAAGTAGACAATAGCAAACTACTTCTGAAAAAGCTTGCCAAAAAAAATTAGGGAGTTGTCCAAGCAGTCTCTGATAATATGACATTATTAAATGAAAGGAGAAAAAGTAGCAGAGGCTGTAAATACTAAGTTAGATATTCATTCTGTGTACCCTCTTTTTCTTTCATTTTTATGGCTTTTTGTCTATGAGATGGCTAATTTCTACTGCCTTTATTCCCAGGACAAATGCACAAAACTTTGCCTTCAGGCAAGAATCTCACTTTCTAGGATCTTCATTTTTTTAACAAAAATATTGCATATTTGTCATTATCCTAAGGCAAGCTGGAAGGTGATTCTCAGAATAATTCCTTGCACATAATTAAATACAGAATGCCAAATGATTCTTCATTATGCTTTTAATGTATTTTTCAAACATAATCTCCGTAAAATATTCTTGGGGAATATTAGGGAACCTACTACTACAAATGTAAGGATAATTCTTTAGACTAAACTCTCTCTCTCTCTCTCTCTCTTTATATATATATATATATATATATATATATTCTGAGGTTTTCGCGGGTGTTTGTATGTAGGTCTTTGATTATTCGGGTTTTCTCCCACGTAAAATTAGAAGTGTCTTGGCGACGTTTCGACGAAGTCTCATTCGTCATCTTCAGGCTGGTGCTTTCGGCTTCGTGCTCCTAGAAGCACGAAGCCGAAAGCACCAGCCTGAAGATGACGAATGAGACTTCATCGAAACGTCGCCAAGACACTTCTAATTTTACGTGGGAGAAAACCCGAATAATCAAAGACCTACATATATATATATATGTAGGTCTTTGATTATTCGGGTTTTCTCCCACGTAAAATTAGAAGTGTCTTGGCGACGTTTCGACGAAGTCTCATTCGTCATATATGTTTTCTGAGGTTTTCGCGGGTGTTTGTATGTAGGTCTTTGGTTGTTCGGGTTTTCTCCCACGTAAAATTGGAAGTGTCTTGGCGACATTTCGACGAAGTCCCATTCGTCATCTTCAGGCTGGTGTTTTCAGCTTCGTGCTTCGAGCAGCTTCATGCTTCGTGCTCGAAGCATGAAGCTGAAAACACCAGCCTGAAGATGACAAATGGGACTTTGTCGAAACGTCACCAAGACATTTCCAATTTTACGCGGGAGAAAACCCGAACAACCAAAGACCTACATACAAACACTCGCAAAAACCTCAGAAAACATATATATATATATATATTCCCAGCTTGTCTAGTAAAAGCAGTGGCATTGTAAAAATAAATTTAAAAAAACTCTTGTATCACAGGTCAAGTATAATTTAATGTGGAGACAAGCAAGGTTTACACCTGAGCAGGAAAAACCAATGGTACACGTACAGATTAGATGAAATCTAGCTCAAAAACAGTAACTGTGAAAGGGACCTTGGAGTCCTAGTGGACAATCACTTAAACATGAGCCAGCAGAGTGTGGCAGCAACCCAAAAAATAATACAATCCTTGGTTGTATAAACATCGGCATAGAATCAAAATCATTTGAAATATTAGTACCACTTTGTAAAGCCTTAGTAATGCTACATCTGGAATACTGTATCCAGTTTTGGTTACCACAGTACAAAAGAGATGTTGAGACTTTGGAAAAACTGCAAAAAAGAGCAACTAAGATGATTAAAGGCCTGGAGATTAAAACATATGAAGAACGGTTGCAGAATTTAGGACTGGCTAATCTAGAGAGAGAAAAAGGATAAGGGGGACATGATAGCAATATTCCAATATTTGAGAAGCTGCCACAAGGAGAAGGGGGTCATTTTTCTCCTCAAAGCACCAGAAGCAAGACAAGAAACAACGGATGGAAATTAATCAAAGAGAGAAACAACCTGGAATTAAGGAGAAACTTCCTAACAGTGAGGACAATTAACCAGTGAAACAGCTTGCCATTACATTGTGGGCCATTACATTACATCATCACTCAATTTTTTAAAGAAGAGACTGGACAGTCACTTGTCTGAAATGACATAGGGTTTCCTGCTTGAGCAGGAGGCTGGACTAGAAGACCTCCAAGGTCCCTTCCAGCCCTATTCTGATTCTGATTCAGATTCAGAAGTTCAGTCTCAAGTATTTGTGTACAATATCATGATTCAAGTACAATAAAGTTTGTATTGTCACATCATAATGCACATTTTTTTATTTGCTCTCCCTAGTTCCCATTTTTGATACCCATGGCTATTTCTTTCAAAACCAACAATTGCAAGTCAAGCATCAAAAAGTGAATAACTCTATTGTAATATAAAGAATTTAAAATCAGAGAGTTTAATGGGCTTTCTATTCTGAAATAACAGTGTATCCTTTTCTTTTTTAAAAAAAGTTAGTAGATAGAATTTGGGGACAGAAAGCTTAGAAAACCTGGATCTTTAGATTGACATATGATACCTTGTCTTAAAAATGGAAAGCCTGATGAAAGCTGGTTATCAAGGCCTTTTGAGTTTTTCACTGTTAGTGCCTTTGTTTCAAAATACAAAAAATATTCTAAAGCAATCCTCCTTGCTGCTACATTCTCTATCAACTGTAGCTTTCAGATCAAGAATTTAATAACTTTTTAAATGTTAAAATTTTTAAAATATGAGGTTTATTGAGTATAGTGACAAAGATCTAGCTAGGCACTAATCCAATTTCTAGCTCAATCTGCATGATGTATTCAGGGAACAGTGTTTTCCTCTGAATAGTTTTGAGAGAGCTTTTTTAATTGCCTTGTTTCTCATGCTGTAAATAATTGGATTCAGCAGAGGAGGAAGCATTGAATATATCACTGTAAAAATCAAGTCCAGATATGATGGAGTGTCAGAGGTTGGTCGTAAATAAGCAGTACTTCCTGTAAATAAAAACATGGAAAATACAATGATGTGAGGAAGACAGGTTGCAAATGCTTTTTGTCTTCCCTGCAAGGAAGGAATCTGAAAGAGTGCTGTGAAGATATGTACATAAGTCACAATAATGAAGCAACAGCAACCTACCCCAATGGCAACACTTAGAACTACAATTCCAAGTTCAATTAAATATAAGTCAGAGCAAGCAAGTTTAAGTAACTGGGGGATCTCACAGAAGAATTGATTTATCACATTAGAGCAGAAAGGGGTTGCAAAAGTCCCACTCGTGTGTATAACCCCATAAGCAAGACCAGCAAACCATACCATAGCTACCATTCGTGTACAAGCTTGCTTGCTCATCATCATTTCATAGTGCAGTGGATTACAGATAGCAATATACCGGTCATATGCCATGACTGTGAGAAGAAAAAAATCTGATGATATAAAAAAGAAAAACAAAAAAACCTGAGCAACACATCCAAAATAAGAAATGTCCCTGGTATTCAGGAGGGAATTGATCATGGATTTGGGAAGAATCACTGAAACAGAGCACAAATCCTGCACAGCCAAATTCATCAGAAAGAAATATAATGGTGTATGAAGATGATGGTCAAATGCTACTGCAGAGATGATTAAAATGTTCCCTATTATAATTGTTAAATATAACAACAGGAATACAGTGAAATGGAGAATCTGCAGTTCCCAGGTCTTGGAGAATTCTAGAAGCAAAAATGTAGATACAGATGTGTTCTGAAACATTTTGTGCACAGCAGTTTCACAATTCCTAGGTAAAGTAGCAGATTGAAAAGGCTTGAGTCACTTAAAATAACTTACTATAGTATTACAACTAAAATGTGCTTATATAATCATCTAGAGAGTCAATGAAGCTCCATATTTTCCACTCATTGTTTGCCTTTCTAGATGCAGTTGGAAGAACTGGTTTCATAGAGGCAAACTTTCTCCCATTTCAATTGCTATGGCCCCCTTCCTGTTCCCACCAAAATATCTCCCACTGAATATTGATTATAAAAATAATTTCAGTAGAATAAACTGGAACATTTTAGGGAATTTTGAAAGCGATAAAAGTAGAAATGGAAGCAGGTTGCCTCTCAGAAGCCCGCAATTTCATTTTTTTTTTTTAAAAAGTTATGCAATCATAATCACAGAATTTTGGAGATGACATTTTTGCTTCCTATGAAGCCACAACTGGCATGTTGGCAAGCTATATATGAAACTTTATATACCCACCCCCAAGGTAAAACAGTTTAAGTATACACTGTATAAGGTGAAACACCATCAATATGAATACCAAAATGACTCTGGAAAAGATGGTCCTAAAAGCAGGGCTTTATATCACCAATGTTTTTCTTATTAGAGAAATCTCTTTAATTACTACTATTGGAAGACCTGAAAGACCAGATAAGGGACAGATTATCAGATAAAAATATCTGTCAATGTAGTTTCGGAGACCTTGACTTGAATGACTTGAAGACAGAAAATCAATGAAATGTCTTTAATCCATACTCATTCTAGAGGAAGGACTACAGTATATCTCTGTCAGAATCACTGATCAGAAATTGATGAGATATATAGTTTCATCCATCAAATTAAAAGTGTTTAAAGACAGTGCTACTTTTTTTCATGTGCTCTAAACCATTTTTTTGAAATCAACTCTGAAATGTTGCATAGTTGGCGATCTTTATTTCTTAGCATGATAGTCATCATCTTCTAGACATTGAGGACTTATCCTATGCTAGGATAGGATAGAAGGAATGTTTGAATTAATATCTGATAAATAAAATTGTATATAAAGGACAACGACTCTGTGCAGATAGTTGCTTTGAAAAGGCCAATGCTACTCATACAATGATCCCTCATTATGGCACAGCTTGGACCTGGAATCAGGTGAGCTCTTATCCTTTTATCTTCTGGTGAATGAGTGAAAATAGTTGTCTTCTCTAAAGCATTTGGACAGAAATTTTTCCAGTTTGAGAAAAATAAATAATATATTGTTACATTTGAATTTTGCCATAGAGCAAATTAATATTTTAAGCAGTTTGATAGGCTAGTATATCATCATTATCATTATCATCCAATTATGATGATCAATACTAGATTATCATCAACAACTAAAGCCCAACTTGTTGTAATTGTAGCCAGTCAGTAATAGACTAAGAGAGTGGAGATATCCCTATTTGACTATGGAATACATATCCCACAGGTTAGCTTGCTTCACTGAATTTCCATGATAATGAAAATAGAGCCCCTCTTGGCCTCCTGAGATATCATGAAGAAAAACAGAACATCAAAGCAACTTAAAGAAGAAGATAATTAAATGGGGGGGGAGAGACTTAGGAATAACTTACTGATTCTCTGCATGAATATCTTTCCAGCCCAGTCCAATCCAGTCCAGTCACCACAACGCACTTAAGATCTGATGAATTTGTTTGTTTCATCTGCTCCAAATTTTAGGAAATGAAAACTTGTAATTTTGAAGAAAGAGGCTGCAGAAAGAAAATGTATATTGTTTCTGTGCATATTTTTCACACATATACATACATTTCTCAGGGAAAGGTAAGAAATAAGAAAACAAAGGTATCGTACTTCAGTAAAATGAGAATTAAACCTGTTATTTAAATTTCTCCCCATCCTTAATATAATCCATTCAGTATTGCTCTTAACCTTGAAGAATAGAAAGTTATAAATCTCATGCTCATCCAGTATGCTTTATTATTTATAATATATTTTCACATTTAAATAGTGAGCTGAATTTGTACAGGGCACAGAATAGTTGTCACCAGGGGACTGTGTTTTATTTAAACATATTAGCTGCTCTTGGGAACTCTTATTTCAGAAATTTAATGTACAACAATTCTGAAATAATCAAGTCAATAATTTATGTGAAGGGCAGATAAGAATGTTAGTAATAGTTCAATGTTTTACAAGAACTATTGGCAGAGTGGAAGAACAAACATGAATTTTATCATTATATATATAATTTTAAGGTTTCTTATTCTGTGTTTTTTTTAATCATATGTATATATTTCCCATAACAGACACACATACTACAAAACTTATGTTAAAAAGTTCTAATAATCTAAGGGTTTCCTTCTACAGTCATGCACTTCAGATTCAGCTATTTATAGGTGGAATTTCCAAAGTGTTTCAATTAAAATTGAACTATTTTTTTAAAAATCTGTCATTCAGGATCCAAATTTACGTATGTTGGTAATGCATACTCCCAATGTCCAGCATTAATTGGCTTGGAAAATATGGAATCATATATCAAGCTGTCTTCTTGTGCAAGTTCTGATAACTAATCCTGGAAAAAAAAAACATTTACTGATTTTTTTTTTTTTAAATCCTGCCTTTATTATTCTTTTCATAAATAGTTCAAGATAGCAAACCTAGCTAATACTCCTTCCGCCTCCTATTTTCTTCACAATAACAATCCTGTGAGGTGAATTGTGCTGAGAGAACTGGGCCCAAAGGCACTCAGCTGGACTGATCTGGGATTGAGGAACTGGTTGTCCTTTTTTAAAATTTGACATTGGAGGAGAATGGTCTTTACTGATGGCTTAAATTATGTCATCTCGATGAAATGAAATATACTCTGGGATTCCTGTGTGTTGATTTTCCTCTCCATTAAAATTGTCTTATTGTCTAAAGCAAAGATGGGGATGATGAGATCGTATTCATGCAGTGCAGAGTTCTGAATCTGTCAAGAATTATATTCAGGAAACCTGTTCTGGTCTAATAGCTTGATGTGCTTTATCCTATAAACTCATTTCACATACCTAGTATATGCAATGAGGAATGAAGCCTAATAACCACTTATCTCCTTTTGTGTGAGAATTGTCATTTTTTTCTGGACATTTTCATATAGTCCATATTAGATATTAAATTATTACAGTTTTGCTTTGAATTGGCAGGCAATTTTGTCTTTTCAGGATGCAATAAACAAATATAATTAGAATAGAATAGAATAGAATAGAATAACTTTATTGTTACTTTGAATGTACACTAATCTGCATTTTGTTGCATATTTCTCTCAAAGGGTCACTCCCTTCGATATATACTACATAAATATGATAAAAATTAACAAACAAACAAACAAACAAACAAATATGCATATACCCACATATATTATATGACACAGAGAAACAACAGTCTAATTCAGGTTATGTATACATGCACATGGCAAGAAAAACAAACCTTCTGAGTTTACCAGACAGATGGCATAGGGAACAAAGCTATTACAGAGTCATGTTGTCCTGCTAGAAATACTTCAAAACCTCCTCCCAGATGGGAGCAACAGAGAAAGACAATAAAATGGATATGTGGGGTCTCTAACAATGCTTTGAGCTCTAAGCACATAGCACTTATAAGCAGCATCCTGAATACCAGGGAGCAAGCTTTCTATTATCTTCTCGGCTGTCCTTACCACTCTCCGTATGGATTTTCTACCTGAGGCACTGCTGCCACCAAACCAGATAGTGCTGCAGTTTGTTAAAATGCTCTCTGTAAAATGGAGCCTCTGTAAAAAGTGGCCAGGAAGAAGAAGAAAGATGTGCTCTCCTCATCTGACGCAGGAAATGCAGATGCTGGTTTGCACGCTTCACTAAAGATGATGTGTGGAGACACCAATTCAGATTGTTAGTTATCTAATTTTAAATCTCTTCTTTCTGATTTTGAGTTTCCACAAAGCAATAATACTTGAGAATTCATACCAAAATAACCAGTGGTGGGATTCAAATATGTGAACAACCAGTTCTCTGTGTGGATGCTGCTTCTGGAAGTCCATTCTGGGCCCGGGCAACAAAAAAATTAGCTACTGGTTCTGTCGAAGTGATGCGAACCGGCTGAATCCCACCATTGAAAATAACCATTAAAAAGATGATTATTTATGTTAAATGCCTGGAGGTATAGGAGGCTTTACTCAATCCTCTCTCAATTTATTTGTCTGGGATAAAATATACTTGTCATATAAGAAGGTTCCTTGCTTGCTTGTTTGTTTATTTATTTATTTCAATTTGTGCACTACCCAACAATTTTAGGCTATTCAGAAAAACATGAAAATCTGTAAACAATAAAACCAATAATCTGCATTTATTTATTACTTATTCTTGTCAGAAGCATAACAATTAAAATAAACAAACTACATGATATAACATTTAAAATATAAAATACAAGATTAAAATATGTACAAATTAAACAAATCTTGCCCAGAAACTAGCACCATTAATTGTGTTCTGTCATGCTGCCATGAAGTCCTCAAGAGTACACTGATTGGAACACAAAGGGTAGGTATACGTTTTTGTTGTTGCATGCCTGTCACTACAATCATAAAGAACAGAAGCCGCCGGATGGCCCCATTTGTTCAGGGTGTCTCCAGATTTTGTTGTATCCATGCACAGTCTATTCAATGATTTTCATACCTCCCATATTTCATCAGACCCAGGTGCCTGCTCCTCCATTAGTTCCATCCAATGTTGGTTCTTTGTAACTTTCCATAGATCCACTGCTTTCAAATTCTTCAAAGTCTTCTGTCAACCTAAGGAAGCTTTTCTTGATTTTTAATATCTGCTGAGCTGGTTGTAGGAAATATATCAGTAAAAGAAAAGGCAAAGATGGCAAACTGTGCATTGCAACAACCATGCAGTAGTCTTTTCCCACTCTTTACTTATTGATTGTTTTGCAGGGAAAGTTAATGGCTCACTCCCAAATTCCCTGGAATTTAACAGCCATTTCTCCCTTCTCCCTTCTAGTATTGCAATTTAGATTTCATCAAAATCACTATTTAATGTACCATGCTACACACACTCTAAATATTCATAGCATTTAGAAAGAGCATTCTTCACCTCTTCAAGATAATTCACATATTTTTTTATTATCCTAGAGGCCAATTATAACATTAAAAAATGCCAGATTTGAGAAGTGATTAATTCAAGCATAAACTTGAGTCAATATGTCTTTACTGTGTTTTCTTGTGTGCCTTGTTTCTCTAGCCATTTCATCACATTTCCATTTTTCTCTGGGCAATCCCTCATATTGTAGTTTAAGCTCCTGGGTAAATATCTCAAATGGTCTTGTTGAAAATACACAAATAAAGCTTCCTGCAAAACATATTTCTGATGCAGTTTTATCTGAGACATTATTACATGGATCTTTGGCAAAGTAGAGCAAATATGTTTTTCAGTATAAT